AAAAAAAAAAAAAAAAAACTCTGAAAACAAAATATGTTATGCAGAAAAATATACTGAACAACTTTTGCCTTGTGGTCATATCCAAAAACGTTACTGAATTTAAAATAAAAAATCACATACGTTTCATTTTTTTGTTTTTGGAAAAAAAAAAAAACAAACAGCTTTTGCCTCAGGAAAATTAGTTTTTGAATTTTTAAAATTCGAAGATGAAGTAAAAAAATAAAATAAAAAATTGCGCAATTTAGATCTCGAAAATATCTACAACCCCATATTTTTTGTTTTTGTTTTTTGATAAATGTTTAAGGTCACAAAAAATTCCTGAAAGTCGCGGCCGCACCCAACCGCGGCCTGAGCCGCGGCGGCCGTGATCACGTCCGCCCTCCGAGCTTGACCCCGCGGACGCGTCCGCGGGTGCAGGAGCTGATCCAGCCTCTAAGGTGTGGCAGGTTGCCGGCCGGGGCACCATTGAGTCAGACCCAGCTGCAAATGATTGCACTGCAGTTCAGGCACGTAATCTGCTACTCGCTCTGAGCCACCAGTGACCCTGGTGTTTGGTCTCACAGAGCCATATGCCCTGCATAATTTGAGAGCCGCCTTCATTGGTGGATTTGTGTCTGTTTCATGGCAATCTTTTGGGGCATGCCAGACGGTACACAGTGTGGTCTATTCCAGTCAATGCGGCGCTCTGGAAGAAGGTACACACAGAGAGAAGGCTACAGGAAAACAACATAATATGCAGTGTACACTCAGCAACGCAGGAGGAATGCGGGCAACGGGGACAGTAAATCTGTAAACTATGGGGAACTTCCCGTTACTGATAAAGAAAGAAGCACAGCCACGCAACTTCACGTTTGGACCCTTACTTCACAAGTTTGCTGTCCAGATTAAGGGTTTAGATCCCTTGTCCATGTAATCTAGTTAGGATCTCAGGGGTGGATGGGTAGTGGCTTATGCATTCTATGGTTGTTTGTGCTTTCTCTCTATGTTCCGGGGATTAGGCCACCACGGATGATGGGGGAGGAAGGAGGGGGAATGGGGCGCCGAGGGGGTAGGGCACAACTGAGAGGTAGGGTTAATGGGAGAAATGGGGTTGAATTGATGGGAGAATTTGTAGGTAATGTAATTATTGTAAACGTTGTAAATGTTGCAAGGGGTAACTTCGGCACAGTCACCAAAACAGTTTGTAATTGCATTCGAAACTGCGTTTTAG